TAATCCCTCCTCCACCTGACAGTCCTCCAGATACGTGACCCAGCTGTCATGTCACCCCTGAATCTTATTTTCTCCAGGCTAGACATACTCAGTTCCTTCAAGCAGTGCTCATATGTCATGGACTCAATGCCCTTCCCCATGTTGGTTGCCCTCTGGATGTTTCTCCCCAGGTTATCAGTGTCCTTAAACCGTGGTGCTCAGAATTGAACACAGTACTCCAAATGAGGTCTGATCAGGACAGAGTGCAATGAGATTATCACCTCCCTGTTCCTAGAAGTTATGGGCCTCCTAAGGAGTTCCAGGATTGCATTAGCTTACTGGGCTGCCACATCACTCTGCTGCCTCCTATTGAGCTTGCAGTCTACAAAAATCTCCAGGTCCCTTTTAGAGCAACTGCCATCTCTCCATGTCTCCCCCCTCTCGTATTTGTAGAGTTGATTGTTGGGGTTTTTTTTTGTTTGTTTGTTTTGTTTTGTTTGGTACCTAAAGGAAGTTCCAGCTTGAAGCCCTAGCTTGTCAGGATCCTTTTGGATCCTGACTTCTGTCATCCATTGTGTTAGCTACAAATTTCCAAATTTGATGCACCTATGCCTCTAATCAAGTAGTAGATAAAAATGTTGAACAGCACAGGGCCGACAAGCCCAGATTCCTGAGGTACTTTACTGGAGACCTCTTAGGGCATTGACACTGAACCTTCAACAACTGTTCTTTGAGTCCAGTTATCCAGCCATTTCTGAATCCATCAGATTATATTAGTGTTTAATCCGTAGCTCTCCATCTTCTCCACAAGAATAGCATGAGATACTTTATCAAAACCTTTGCAAAAAATCCAAGTAAACTGTCTATAGTTCTCCCCTCATCTACTGGTTTAGTAATCAAAAATGTCAAAAAAGGAAATGAGGTTAGTTTGTTTTTAAAGAAGCCAGGTTGGCTTTTTGTAATCACTGCTTCCCTTTTTAGATATTCACCAACTGTCTCTTTGATGATCCTTTCAATAATTTTCCTATCAATTGAAGTCACACTCCCTGATGTGTGGGTTTTCAGACTCTGATCTCTTCCCTTTTTTTGAAAATCAACACAACACTTGGTCCATCTCCAATCTTGTGGTTCCTCTGTCATCTTCCATGATCTTCTAGATGTCACTGATAGTTCTGCAGTCACATATGTGACTTCCAGGGCCCAAGGATGTGGTTCATCTGGGCTAGGTGACTTTAATTCATCAAGGGCAGCTTAGGTGCTGCCTCACTGTCTTCTCACTTACCTTATGTTTCAGCTTCCTGTTAGTCATTTCTGCTCTGTCATTTCTAGTCTATATGGCATTCTGCTTTTCAGAGAAAACAGAAATAAATTAAGAGTTTGGCAGTTCTGCCTCTTCTCTGTTGTCAGTTATCCCTTCTAACCCTAGTAGATTAAAGCTTAAAACTGCACTAAGACTTTTAGACACCCTGTATAACATCTAGAGCTAGAAAGGAAGGGTAATTAAGTCCCTCTCCATCATTTTGTGTCTGTCTATTTTTGCCAAGCCAATGTCTATGATCTTTCTTTTGTTTTTTAAATTTTTTTCAGTTTACTTTCTCTCCCTTCCACTTTCTTCTTCTGTATTTAGAAAGAAAGCAAAACAAAACCCATTACAAACATGTATAGTCAAACTTAACAAATACCCACATTTTTTGTTTTTGTTCAGTTGTTTCAGTTGTTTCCAATTCTTTGTGACCTCATTTGGGGTTTTCTTGGCAAAGATACTGGAGGGTTTGCCATTTTCTTCCCCAGCTCATTTTACAGATGAGAAAACTGAGGCAAAGAGGGTTAAGTGAATGCCCAGGGACACAGAGCTAGTAAGAGTCTGAGGCCAGATTTGAGTTCAGTAAGAGGAGTCTTCCTGACTCCTGGCCCAGCACTCTATCCACTGTGCTACCTGGCTTCTCCAGTGTTCCCACATTGGCCACATTCAAAAAACTGTATGTCTCAATTCGTATTCTAAGACTATTACTTTTCTGTTCGGAGGTGGGTAACGTGTTTCATCATGAATCCTCTGGAATTGTGGTTGGTCATAGTGTTGATCATTGTTCTAAAGTATGCAGTAATGTTATTATAAAAATTGTTTTCCTGGTTCTGCTCACTTCATTCTGCATCGGTTCATACAAATCTTCCCAGGTTTCTCTGAAACCACCTCCATCATTTTTTTAGCACAATAGTACTCCATCACATTCATAAACCATAACTTGTTCATCCATTCCCTAATTGATGAGCATACATATAGTTTCCAATTGTTTGCCACAACTAAGAACTGGAAAGGTCTTTGGAGTCTATATCTAATATTGATATTGCTGGGTTGAAGTGCATGTACAGTTTAATGATTTTGGGGGGTATAGTTCCATATTGATTTCCAGAATGACTGGACTAGTTCAGTTTCACCAACAGTGCAGTAACATAACCTGTTTTGCCACAGCCCTGCCAACATTTATCATTTTCCTTTTTGGCCAACTGTTGGGTATGAGATGGAACCTCAGTTGTTTTAAAATGCATTTATCTCATTATTAATGATTTAGAGCATTTTTTCATATGCCTCTTGAAAGCTTGGATTTCTTTTTCTGAAAAGTGCCTTTTTGCATCCTTTGACCATTTATAAATTGGAGAATGGCTCTTGTTCTTATAAATTTGGATCAATTCCCTACATATCTGAGAAATTAGATCTTTATTGGAGAAAATTGCTGCAAAGCTCTCCCCCTGTATTTACCTGCTTCTCTAACTTTAGCTGCATTGATTTTGTTTGTGCAAAAACTTTTCAATTATATGTAATCAAAATTGTCCATTTTACTTTCTGTGATCCTTTTTTATCTCTTATTTGGTCATGGACTCTTCCTACTTCTCATTTTACAGATTAAAAAAAAAAACTTAAGGAGGCTGAAGGAAGGTTAAATGACTTGCCCAAGATTACCTAGCCAAGATTATACATTTTAGTAGCAGAACCAGGAATAAATCCCAGGTATCCTAACTACTACAGACTGTGATGGACATAATTTTTCTAGAATATATTAAAACATAAGGTCCTCCATTTCCTCTTCACCATTTGGGGCCTGGATCTTTGCTATTGTAACAAAAGATTTTTTTGGTTTGCCAGTTACATTAGTGTTTCATACATAGTGTCAGTTCTAGATCTCAAAGGGCATGTGTATGTATGTGTATGTTTATATGTACACATACACACACACACACACACACACAAACACACAAATGGGAAGGGTACCAGGAATGCTTCATGGATAAGTGGTTATTATAAATAAGAGCCTGTCAAGGACCACATGTTTCAGCAGCCAATAAAGTTAACAGTGAGGTAAACTTACTGCTTCTAGGTATTTGTGTTTTGATTTGCCTGTCATAGCCTGAACAGGAATAACGAGGGAATGGATTTCTGATTTCCCAGGTCCACTAAAGCTCATTGAAAAGCATAGGAGAATTGTGGGGCATGCTATTTCACTTCCCTTCTCTGGGTTTTAATTATTCAGTTATTCATCAGAATTTGCAGTGAATTTGTTGAACTAAATGTTCTCTGAGATCCAGTTTGTCATTCTAGAAATATCTGCGATACATTTCATTTACCTATACCACGTACAAACCTTGCTAAGACTGAGACTACATCTTTAGAGATGTAGTCTCTCTTTTGGAAAAAGTCAAGAGAAAAATTTTTGTTTCTCCATTTAACTTCAAGTAGAAATAAGGGGGAAAAAAGCACAAGCTCCATATTACCAGTAGTAAATAGTTTTGGCCACATTTGCATTGTAATAATAAATAATGCCTTGCAACATTTAGGTGGTGTGTGTATTTATGTATATATACATATATCTATATCTCATGCATATGTATCTATTTCTCATACATACATATATACATATATAATGTATATATAAAATGGCAGAGGCAAACGTGTTAGTGATCAGAACATTTCTTTGGGTTTATTGACCCTTAATTAGGCAGATGGATGGTACAGTGGCTAGAGGGCTGGGCTTGGAGTCCAGAAGACCTGAGGTCAAATCCAGCCTCAGATACTTACTAGTTGTGATCCTGGGCAAGTGGCTTAATCTCTCTCTGCCTTAGTTTTCTTCATCTGTAAAATGAGGATAATAATAGCACCTACAGTATCCCAGGGTTCCTGTGAGTATCAAATGTGATAATATCAGCAAAGTGCTTTGCAAACCTCAAGATGCTATATACATTTTAGCTTTTAGCCAGTATTATTGGTTAGAAGTACTTGTCTTAAACTTTAGGGTGGGCTAATTTCAGCTTTGACTTTGGAGCTGGGAAATAGTTTTGACGATGCTGCCAATGGCCAGCCTCCCCTTTGGAACAATTTATGGTTTTTGTTTTGGATTTTAGTCATAGTTTTTGGAGATGCAGTCTATTTAATCCCCTTTTTGTGTAGTAATGGTGACCTTCATTCTTCAGGTGGTGGTTCACAGAGCATTGTAAATAAATGGTACCCAAGCAGCACTTGTATTTCAAGGAAAAGGAGACAGAAAGTAGAGTATTCCTTTGCTTCTCTTTTACAGCTAACAGAGAAAAAGAAGAACCATTCAGCAATTGTTTGCTTTATAGGCCCCAGGGGTGGCCTGCAGGCCACATGTGGCCTTCTAGGTCCTTGGGTGTGGCCTTTTGACTGAGTCCAAGTTTTAAGAATAAATCCTTTTATTAAGGCGATTTGTTCTGTGAAGTCTAGATTCAGTCAAAGGGCTGCACTTGAGGACCTAGAGGGCCACATATGGCCTTGAGGCTGAAGGTTTCCCACACCTGCACCTAACTCATTAACCACTTTCTGCATGCTAACAAATATGGTAAGTAAGGTGCATGTAGGTGCTAGCCTCATCCTATCCATTATTATGAATCTCCCTCAGTGCATTTTCATTTGTAGTCATCTAGAAACAATTTTCTTGTCTTTATGCTTTGAAATTCTTACTTTGGGAATTAATATTGGTTTGTTTTTTTTTAATTTGTCTCTAGAATGTGGAACATCTTACCACTGTGTTACCACGTGTGCATTTGCCAATGCAGGATGATTTGGAAATGAACTGAATTTGTGCACTCTGACCTATGTGGAGCCAAAAGTCCCGTTCTGGTGATGAGAGAGGTTGGTGTTGATAACTTACTGAGCAGGAGAAAGACTCCAGGAGAAACTTGTCAGATTTCATGGTGGAGTAGACTTTCTATTTTTCTCTTCTCCTTCCCTTCAGTCTGAGAGGAAGTGGAATCTCTCTTCTCCTAAGTGAATTCTCCTACCTGTGTTCATGTTTGATTCCACCCACCCTGACTTTGCTTTGGTAAAATGAGATCAAGCTCCTCCTCTCCACACTCTGGCTTCTCCTTTTGACATCGCTATTCTAATAGTGTCTCCTAGTCATAAAGGCTGAAAGCTCACCTCTAATCTGCTGAATCCTGTCGATTCTTCGTCTTGTATTAGTCTCATCTCTTTCTACTACTGCTACCATCCTAACCTGCTCCCCAGACTGCTTTCTTGTTACTGTATCTTTGCTCTCACCGTTCACTCCACCAGGATTGTCTGCCCCATTAATCTCTGCTGGTCTGTAGCCTATTCATATTCAAGACCTTACCTCAAGGAATTTACAAGAGGGTAAGCTCCTTGAGGGCAAGGCCTCTGCCTTTCTGATCTTTGTGTCTCACAGCATGCTGCCCATAACAGGGGTTGAGTAAATGTTTGTTGGAAGAATAAAAAGTCCAGCTTGCATTTAGAGGCCATTATATGTGTATATAATTTATCTCCCTCACTGGAGCTTAAGTTCTTGGAGGTCAGGATACAGGTCTTGTTCATAGTTTTGACTCATATTTATGTGATGTTTTATGGTTTACAAAGAATGTTGTGTAGGGGGTAGAGTTGACCCAGGAGTCAGGAAGCCCTGGATTCTAGACCCATCTCTGACACAGAGTGGCTGTGTGACCTGGGCAAGTCCCTTATTATCTCAGTTCCCTAGGCACCTTTCTGAGACTCTTAAATTTCAGGGAAGATGCATTGACAGAAGTGTCTCACCAGCAGCTCCCTGCACTGAAGAAACCCCATGACTGACCTAAAACAAAGAATACTTGGGAGACAGAGTTTATTTTAAGGCTCAAGTGACATAATGTATGTTGAGTACATTGCAAACTTCAGTACAGGACTCTATAAATGTCAGCTATTTATATTAGTTAAGTACTTAGAAAATATTAATTGAATGAATACTGGTAATCTAATGGTGCATTTTTCCCCTTCCCTTTTGGTTTGCAGGACAGTTGCCAGTTTGAGTAGAACCATGAATGCTATTGTTGCTCTTTGTCATTTTTGTGAACTCCATGGCCCTCGAACCCTCTTCTGTACAGAAGTTCTACACTCTCCTCTTCCCCAGGGGGCTGGAAATGGAGATAGCCCTGGGCAGGGAGAACAGGCTGAAGAGGAGGAAGGTGGCATCCAAATGAGCAGTAGAATTCGCTCTCATAGCCCAGCAGAAGGGGCCAGTGCTGAATCCAGCAGCCCAGGGCCAAAGAAATCAGACATGTGCGAGGTGGGTGTCCTTAGGTTCTTAAAAAAGTTCTACATTCTGCAGGTATGTAGCATTCTTTTAGGTCATACCCTATCCCATTTCTGTTATTTGAACAGTAAACTAGAATTTATGGTCAGTTACAGACTTAGAAGTTATAGTGATATGTAAGATCATTCTGTACTATATAGATAAAAATTATTCTTGATGACTTGTCAGTTAACTATTTCTGAAAGCTCATACATTTTAAACTTTTATTAATATTTCATTTTGACACAGATGCATCTCAAGATCTGCCCCTATCAAGTAATAAAAAGTGATCATGATTGATGTTAACTTTCCACTTTTGTAGTTTACCATTTGTTATTAGAAACAGACTGATAAACTTTTTGAAGATTTATCTCTGTGGGCAATATTTCTTGACAAATTTTGTCTTTTTTTTGCTCCCTTGTTACTTTACTTTTATGTTACTCTTCTTTACCTCTTCTTCTCCAACAAATAGTTGTTAACCCACAGTCTTTATATTGCAGTTATTTCCTGTTTTATTTTGTTTCAATTGTCTCCCAGCCCTTACCTTCGTATCTGTCCTCGACTTTGTGTTTTATTTTGTTTTTTCCTTATTCTCCTTGGCTAGAGGCCCTCTTGTTTGTTGTTGGATTCTAAGAGAACTTTATTTGGAAATAAACTAATGAACAATAAACAGGCCTGGTTCTTACCTCCTAAGCCTCACTGATCATATATATGTTGGACTTGGCTCATGGTCACTACTATGTAATGTACAAAGATCAAGAATTTCCAAATCTGTAGTTTTTTCCTCACATTCCATTACCCTTCATACCAGGCTTACCTTGCTTAAATTTACAGAGGCCACATAACTTGAGAATCACTAATCTAAGATTCAGATGACACCAGATACTTAATAATTATTCTTATTAATACCAAACACATGGTGGTCTGACTGGGGAATTAAGAGAGTCTTCATTCCGTCATTAATTTGTTTTGTGACCTTAGTAAAGTCCCTGAGTCCTGGGTGTCTCCCTTTTTTTCCCATTCATGAAACAGAGTCTTATAAATAAAGCATTTGTGAATTTTGAAGTGCATAAATAAAAGGATCCCCTAGATAAGAGGTTATTTTTATGGAAAATATGAACAAGTTATTGTGACTTGTATGTGGGGGAAAATGACTTTATTCTTGCTTTTTGATCAATTCTACCTTCTCTTCCCTTGTCTGGGTTAGGGCTGTCGATCACTTGCAGCAGGCCATCCTGGGTACATCAGCCATGACAAAGAAACCTCAATAAAATATGTTAGTCATCAGCACCCAAATCATCCACAACTCTTCAGTATTGTTCGCCAGGCCTGTGTTCGAAGCTTGAGTTGTGAGGTAAGAGAGGAAAACCTGTTGAAGAATTTCATTTCTACTCCAAGTAATGATGCATCTTTATTACATCAGTCATTGCTAAATCCTGTTGTATTTGTAGGTTGGAGGAAGAAAAAGTAAACTTATCAGCAGAGATTTTTGAGTTGCAAGGGAGCAAAGAGTACAGTAATATCTTGACTGTGTGGGAATAAGTCATTCTGGATAATTTAGATTTTCAGATTGTTAATGTTTGTCACTCTTAAGTATCCAAGAAAGATTTCTTAAAGAAAACAGAACGAAATTTAACTTCTTAATGACTCAAAGTGATAATTATAAGTATTAATTCTAGTACTTCGTTGCTTTCAGGTGCTATTGAAGGGTGGGGATTTTTGCCCCTACTCTAAAAGTCTGTAGGCGCTTGCATTTTTGAGATCTTGTGTATGTTGGGTTTTTAAATATTTATTTTGTCTTCTCTCTCCTTTTCAACTGTTAGTGTGCCACTTGGACCAGCTGATTTACCGTCTTCTCCTATCTCCCTCTTGCCTTTCTGATTGTTTCTAATCTGTGTTTGTTTAGAACTGTGTGTAAAGTAAAAATAAATAGGCTTTAAGTAAAACCCTGAGAGGCTTTCTTAAGAAAAAGTATGTGAATTTTCTGGCATCTCTCTTGGCTGCCTGTCAGCTTTATTTTGCTTTACTCCCAATTTCTGAAAGTTCCAGAAGGCTGAGATTTCTCTGTTTCTAAATTCTGCATAGATTGCATGTAAACTGCATTTGTATACAGATAACCAATGGCTCAGGCTGGGGAAAATAACTAACTAGCTTAGTGGTCATTGGAGTTAAAAATTGGAAGACCTATATATTGCTCATAAAGAAAATGTGAAGGATTGCTTGGCCTTCAGCCTAGTCATCTACCCTAATGAATTTGGTTTTTGCTTGTTTTTCCCTTCATTACTGCCCGTGGACTTAGTTTATTGTTAGCTTATACAAATGTGAAAGGTTGTCATTTATTTTTCAATATATTACTACTACATTTTATATATTTCTAAAGCAAGAAGATTAATTGACTCAGACATAGTTGTGGTCTCTATCAGGTCTGTCCTGGTCGTGAAGGCCCCATTTTCTTTGGAGATGAGCAACATGGTTTTGTGTTCAGCCACACTTTTTTCATCAAAGACAGTCTGGCCCGAGGTTTCCAGCGCTGGTATAGCATCATTGCTATCATGATGGACCGGATTTATCTCATCAACTCCTGGCCCTTCCTGCTGGAGAAGATTCGAGGGATCATTGATGAACTTCAGGGCAAAGCACTGAAGGTGGGTTAGAGAGATGAGGATGCATGCTGTTTGGTCTGGGAAAGGATATGTTAAATACTGCATGGCCAAAACTTAAGGGAGGCAGGGCATGGAGATGCCTCGTTGTGTGCTTAAGTCAAAACACTAATGCTAATGATGATGTATGAGAGACATTAAGAAGTGGTCCTTTCTTAGGTAGCTTCAGAGGTTGTTTTTATTATACATAGAAGAACTTCAAAGGAACTTGTATTTGGTTTCTGTTACTTTTGGGGAAACTAAGTAGCATTTTCATTACCTTTTTTTCCTTTGGCTTCTAAATCTGTCAAATGTTTCAATATAACAACTGTTTTAGGCCCTGTGTGGGGATACAGAAGAGTATTCGATCAACCAGCCTGCAAACATTTGTTAAAACACCTTCTGTGTCAGGCATAGTACTAGTTATGAGGATACAAAACTGAAAGTGAAACCTTTCTTCCCCCTCTCTCCTCTGGGAGCTTGCATCATATCAAGGGACATGGCATGCACATGGAGAAGTATATACAGAATACATGATGGCCTTGGTGGGGGGCACTGACTGCTTGGGGAACCAGTAAGACCCTGTGTAAAAAGGGGCATTTGAACTGAGTCTTAAAAGAAACCAGGGCTTCTAGCAGTGGAAGTGAAGAGGGTGTACATTTCACACATGGGAGAGGGCCGTACAAAGTCACGGCCAAGAGATGAAGCGTCATGTGTTAGGAATAGCAAAAAGGCTCGTTTGGATGAATTGTAGAGTGTGTGGTAGGGAGTAAATGTGTAATAAAGCTGAAAATCTAGGAAGGAGCAAAGTTGTAAAGAACTTTCAGTGCCAAGTGAAGGAGTTCATATGGATTGTAAAGGTGATAGGGACTATTGGAGTTTGTTGAGTAGAAGAAACATGGTCAGGCACAGCTCGGTGGCAAAGAGTCAGAAGACTCCTCTTCCTGGTTCAAATCCAGCCTCAGACACTTACCAGCTGTGTGACCCTGGCCAAGTCACTTAACCCGGTTTGCCTCAGTTTCCGCATCTGTAAAGTGAGTTGGAGAAGGAAATGGCAAACCACTCCAGTATCTCTGCCAAGAAAACTCCAAATGGGGTCACAAAGAGTCAGATATGACTGAAACAATTAACAACAAAACATGGTCAGGCTGGAACTTTAGGAAAATCACTTTTGCAGCTTTGTGGGAATATGGATTAGAGTAGGGAAGGACATGAGACAGGAACATCAAATAGGACATTTCTACAGTTGTCTAAGCAAGAGGTGAATTAGAATTAGCTAATTAGCTTTGTGAGTTGAAAGGATGTATATGCAAGAGAAGTTGTGGAGAAAGAAACAACAAGGTTTGGCAACGGAGTAGGTATGTGGAATGAATGAGAGTGAAGAAGATACCAAAGTTGAGAACCTTGGTGACAGAGATGGTGGTAACCTCAACAGAAACAGGGAAATTTGGAAGAGAGGTGGAATCTGGGGAAAAGATAATGAGTTCTGTTTTGGACATGTTGAGTTTGAGATGCTTTTGGGACAGCCAAAATAAGCAGCTGGTGATGTAGGAGTGGGGCTCAAGAGAGAGACTAAAGCCGCATATACACATCTGGCAGTCATCGTCGTGGAAATGATCATTGAACCCATGGAAACTGATGAGGTCACCAAGTAAGAGTATAGAGAGGAAAGAGGAAAGCATCCAGGACAGCCTTAGGGAAACCTACAGTTAGTGGGTATGTCAAGGATGATGATTTCGCCAAGGTGACTGAGAAAACAGTCAGATAGACAGGAGGAAAAGCTGGAGGATGTCACCATGAAAATCCAGAAAAGAGAGTATCTAGGAGGAGAAGGTGGTCAACAGTATCAAATGTTCCAGAGGGGTCAAGAAGGATGATTGAGAAAAGCCATGAGATTTGACAATTCAGAAATGAGTTGGTAACTTTGGAGAGAGCTGTTTCATTTGAATGTTGACATTAGAAGCCAGACTGCAGAGGGTGTAGAGAAGGAAAGGCAGTGCATATAGATGGTTTTTTCAACAAGAAGCTGGAAGAGGAAAAGAGATATAGGATGATAGCTGCTGGAAATAGTAGGAGCTAGTGAAGGTTTTGGGTTTTTTTTGTTTGCTTTTTACATTTGTTGCTATCTTTTGCTCTTATATCACTTATGTTTTCCACTGTAGTCTTCCTCTAGTCCCATCTCATGTCCATTATGATAAAGAATAAAAGAAGAGGAAGAAAGAAAAAGTTCTGCAAAACTAACATATATGCTGAAAAAGTTTGATGTTGTATGCATTATTTCTCATGTATGGGCTACCGCTTCTGCAAAGAACTACAAAGGGGTCTTCTCATTTTTCTCCTTTGGGGCCAGGCACAGTCATTATAATTTTTAAAAATTTTTTATTCATTTTGAACTTGAATACAAAAAGACCAAAAAAAAGAACACTTCCACATATAAAGCACAACATTAAGAGAGGATTCAGTATAAAACCATGAATTTCCATTTTACCGTTTACTTTTTTTAAAACTATGTAATAAATACTGCATATCATTTTCCCTGCTTTTTTGTGCTCCTTTCTAAGTTTTCTTTTGTTCTCTGCTGTGCACTTTGTATTTTTTTTTTCATTATAATTTTACAGCGATTAGCTTTGGTTCTTTTGTTGCTATTTTCATATTATTCGGTCATTTTTCAGGCGTGTCTGATCCTTTGTGACCCCATTTGGGGTTTTCTTGGCAGAGATACAGGAGTGGTTTGCCATTTCCTTCTCCAGCTCATTTTACAGATGAGGAAACTGAGGCACACAGGGTTAAGTGAATGCCCAGGGCCACACAGCTAGAAAGTGTCTGATGCCAGATTTGAATTCAGGAAGAGGAGTCTTCCTGACTGCAGGCTTGGCATTCTATCCATTGCACCAGCTAGGTGCTTTGTTCTTTCCATTTACATTGTTGTAATCCACGTGTATACTGTATTCCCAGTTCTGCTTAATCTACTGTGCTACAGTTCATAAATCTTTTTATGATTTTCTGTACTTATCTTCATCATTTATTACAGCACAGTAATATTCTAGTCATTTCTCAATTGAAAGGCATCTACCTTGTTTTTAGTTCTTTGCTATCTTAAAAAAGGCTGCTATCACAAATATTTTGGTGTATATGGGGCTTTTATTTTTGTCATTAACCTCTTTTAAAATATGCCTAGCAATGAAATCTCTGGGTCAAAGGCTGTGGACATTTTCTTCACTTTCTTTGCCAAATTTAGAATTGCTTTCCACAGTGGTTGGACCAATTCACGACTCCAGCAGTGCAGCAGTGTCTGTCTTTCCGTGGCTTCTCCAATGTTAACTATTCTAATATTTTGCCCTCTCTGTCAGTTGGCTGGAGGGAAGCCTCAAGATTGTTTTGATTTGCATTTCTTGATGAAGCTTTTTTTGTTTTTGTTTTTAAGGATGAAAAAGACTTGTGCATGTTTGTTGGCTACAGGGAAGGAACCAGTAGATAAGGAGACATTGAAGATTAGAGAGAAAGTGGGGAGGATATTAGATACAGTCTGTTGGAAAGGACAGGATGGGATGGGATCTAGGATGCAAAATAATACATATTAGAGAAAAAAACAGAGGACAAATAAATGCTGAGCTGTATGGTATTAACTATGTAAGTATAATAGGTGTTCAAACAGGGAGATAAAAGTCTAGACAAAATCAACCAGAAGAGGCTTCATAGAATAAATGAGATTTGAACTGAGCCAGAGCTGTTTTTTTTTAGTTTGGTAAACAGTATTTTTGTATCCTTAGGTGTTTGAGGCAGAACAGTATGGCTGTCCACAACGTGCCCAGCGAATGAACACAGCTTTTACTCCGTTCTTACACCAGCGGAATGGCAATGCAGCCCGTTCCCTCACATCATTGACAAGTGATGAAAATTTGTGGGCATGTTTGCATACCTCCTTTGCTTGGTAATGATCCTTTGATGAAAAGGCCTTACTGCTCCCATTAAAATAATGAGCCTACTGGTATTTTTATTATGTCAGTATCCATCGTGAAATTTGGTTTTGATGATATATTAAGGAATGTGGTGACTCTCAAATGGGTGACTCCTTGCTTATTTGACACTGGCTGAGTTCTGTAACATTTGTAAATTGAGCACTATAAAAACACAAGTTAAGTAGAATTAATTGGTGGAAATTAGTCTTTTTCCTTTTCTATAGGCTCCTGAAAGCTTGTGGCAGTAGATTGACTGAGAAACTCCTAGAGGGAGCACCCACAGAGGACACATTGGTTCAGATGGAAAAACTTGCTGGTAAGTGAGCCTTTGTGGTTGTTAGCTAAATTTAGGAAAGGGCTCTTTCTAGGGTGTACTTTGGAGCCATCTTACTGTGACACTGAGAATATTACTGTGTGTACTTAAATCTTACCCTTTGTGAACAAGTTTCTACTTTTACTTCTTTGGAGCTTGCATAAAGAAATGTTTTCTCTAGCTGGGGTGGGAGTCTTTTGCTACTCATGTCCATCTATGGAAAGTATAGAGTGAAACGAACTCTTCATCTTCTTTTCCCTGTTTCTTTTGGCTAAGCACTTAACCTTTGTAGGTAGGTCTCCTACTCTCTGCTGGATTGGGAGCTAAAGGTTTGAAATTTGAACCTAAATGTTTAATGTGTTAGAAACTTAGTCAAGTCTTCTATTGGTGATTATTTGATTGTTGGTGGAGTAGATGATGTCAGAAGTAAATGACTCAGATGTGGTTGAATTCAGGTGGATTAAAACCAAGTGGAAGGGAGAAAAGTTTAAGAACCTGTAGTGGAGAACTTGATGGAATAAATGAATTAGAATACAGTATTAGATAGGGATACAGAAACCACTGGTTAAGATGTAACCAAAAAGAAAACAGTTTCAAAGAAACTTTTAAAAAATATACAGAAGAAAACTGAAGGAAGTTCAGAGGGAGACAAACCAGCAGAACATCTTTGAAACCAACATATTGAATTTGCTATATACTTAAAAAGCTATACATGAAAGTCAAAATTTCACATAGTCTTTTTTTCTTTGTATATGGAAATATTTGTCAAGTTCATAATAGAGACTTTTAAAAAAAAGCAAGAAATTAAGAGTTATTGGGTTTATCATCACAATTCAATCTTTTAGTCTGCTTAATTTGAGTCTACTTTTTACAGAGACCAACACCCCAAACTTCCTAAGAGAGTCTTAAAATCTTTTGTGTAAGTGGTCTATTATAGCTTTTTGTCCATGCTCTGTTGACCAGATTTTGATATAATAGGTTCAAAGTTAAATATGCTTAAAGAGAGTCTCCCATGTCAGACGGCCAACAAGTTGGTGGATTAGACATTTTCTCCATTCCCTATTTACTCTCAGAACATTCTCCCTTGCCAAAAAAAAAATGTGAAATATGCTCCAGATAAAGAACAATCAAAGCCGAATCCACAGGGCAAAAAGAAAAAAGAACCCTGACAAGGTAACCTTGGATAACTATAATCCTTAACCTAGTCAGCACCCTTTCCACATCTGTCATCATGCTCCTATCAGGTAAGAACAAATGGATACAAACCAATCCCCAGGAGCCAGCCCAGCCTAGCAGCTGAGTGACCTGTCCAGCCCAGCCTAGCAGCCACATCTAGGGCTCCAGGAAGGGAGAAAGGATGTAGTAGAAGTTGTGGGTGACCGCTTTACCACACTGTTCCTTACACATGTGCCTCAATACCATGTATTCTGCATTTGAGCCCATTCTTCCCATACACTGACCTTCCTTTGGTAAAAGATAATTAAGTTGGGGCAGTGGTGCAGAGGATAGAGAACCAGCCTTGGAGTCAGGAGGACCTGAGTTTAAATCCGGCCTCAGACACATAACACTCACTAGCGATGTGACTGGCCAAGTCACTTAACCCCAATTGCCTCACCAAAACAAACAAACAAACAAAAAAGATAATTTAAGTCTCCTGAGCTGATTGTGATAAAGCAGTAATCATCAAAAAACATTTGGTACAGGTTAAAAATAAAACCAACTAGACAGGGAAGAATCAGGGGAGAAAAATGAACTCAGTAACCTAGTGTTTGATAAACTCTGAGGTTTCACCATACACCTAGTAAATTGGCAGATGGAAATAGTCAGTAGTTAGAGATGTTGTGGAAGACAGGCATAGAACTGTACTGGTGGAGTTGCGAATTGGTCCAACCATTGTGGAAAGTAATTTTGAATTAGGCAAAGAAAGTGAACAAAATATCCCTAGCCTTTGACCCAGAGATTTCCACTGTTATATAAAAGGAGGTCAGTGACAAAAAGAAAGACTCCATATACACCAGAATATTTATTTCTTTTTTTTCATTTTTAAAAAAAATTTTTGGCTAGGCAATGGGGTTAAGTGACTTGCCCAGGGTCACACAGCTAGTAGGCATTATGTGTCCGAGGCCGGATTTGAACTCAGGTCCTCCTGAATCCAGAGCCGGTGCTCTATCCACTGCACCACCTAGCTGCCCCCACCAGAATATTTATTACAGAAAACTTTTTTGTGGCAGCAAAGAACTGAAAACAAAGTTAGAAGCTCATCAGTTGAGAAAAAGCTAAACCACTTGTGGTACATGAGTGTAATCACAGTGCTGTAACAAATAATGAATATGAGGAGTACAGAGAAGCATGGACAAACTTATATAAACTGATGCAGAGCAAAATAAGCAGAAATGGGAACATAACATGCACACTGATTACAATAGCATGAACAGAAAGAACAGAAATAGCAATAAAACAACCACAACTGAATGCTGCAAAATTATAATGATAGAGCTTGGTCCCAAAGGACACATGAGAAGACTCCTTTGTACTTCTTTGCAGAAGTGTGGGGGCACCATGGGGGTGTGGAACCAATGTCAGAATTTTTTTTTTGTGTTGATTCATTTTGCTGAACCTGCTTTTTTCCTTCCTCTTTTTCAGAAATTCTTTGTTATTAAGGATGGCTCTTTGGGATGGGTTTGGAAGAAGAATATAGTGGAAGATATAGGTGATCTAAAAGCAAAGGATCAAAAATTTATTTTTAAAAACCTATTTTTACTAGCCTAATCTATCTGCTAGCTGTTGTCTCAGTTCAGCTGCCATATAGATCTAAAAGGAAACAACTTTTGATCTGTAATCATTTTAATCTATAATTACAATATGAAAAAAAGTTCTGAGACCTTTAGCTCTGTAGAATGAACAGTTTAAGGAAACAACTTTTCCCATGCTGTCTTGTCTAATAGACTTAGAGGAAGAATCAGAAGGCTGGGACAACTCTGAAGGTGAAGAGGAGGAGAGAACTCTTTCAGTGCCTGAAGTCACAGATGGGCGGGAAATAGCCAAATGCCCGACAACTCCTTCTTTGCTCTGTGGCAGCTGGCTGCCTCGAAAGCTGTCCGTCTTCAAGTCCCTCCGACACATGAGACAGGTGGGCAGGAGAGGGCCCTAATTCTAAACCTGGGGAAAATGTGTCTCTCCTTCCAGAGAGAGCTGGGATTTCTCTGCCCTGTGCATCCAGCGTGACTTCTTTCAGCCCCCTCATTTTCTCATTGGTGTTGGACACAAAAGAAGTTGGACCAGGCATTATAATTGTACTTCACATTTCTGTAGTGTAGGTCTTACTCTCCAAGTTTTATAGGTAAGGAAACTGAAGATTCCTAGAGGTCAAGCGATGGTCATATGTGGTCATATAGCTAATAGGAAGGAGTGTGACTTGAACCCAGATCTGACTCTGGTCCTCTGACTAGTCCTGCAATGTTTCTCACATCTAACAGAGAACTTAATGGCAGGGATTACTGTTAGATGTAGGAACAAGACCTGTGATTTCAGTAGTATAATCTTCTCCCATGTGTGGAATACCTGTCAAGGCAAGTCAGCATTCTCTGTGCAGCTGAGGGTCAGAGAGTTACTTGGAGCACTGAGAGGTTAAGTGACTTGCTCAGGGTCACACAGGCAAGAGGCAGCCAAGACTTGAACCCAGATCTTCTTGGCTTCAAGGCCAGCTCCATGCACTGTGGGACATTGCTTTCTCAGTGAAGGTTAGCAAACAGTCTTAAGGGTTGAGGGTAACTGGGGCCTTTCTGTAAGAATAACTGGCATGTATAATTCCTTTAAGGATAACAAAATCTTTTTTATGCTTCATTTCATTTGATTGTCACAATAATCTGTGGTAGGTATTTGATGTATCGTTTCTATTTTAGGGATAAGAGAATTGATGGGAGTAGTTTCATAAACTGTAGCACAAAAATTCAGAGAGATTGGCTTGCACTTGGTCACACATCTAATGTTAGAGGTAGGATTTAAACCCAGGTCTTTCCAATTCAAGTACTTTTCTTGCTACACCATGCTGCCTCTAGCACACATATGTGTCTGTTACCACATCTGTATGTAACTGAACTCATTAATGATTAAAAGTAGGCTTATCCAAATATCACCCACCTGCACATGAAATGAACTGGTGCTCATCAAAACCACCACCATGCATTTGACTCCAGGTGAGCCTACTCCGGTTGGTTGAGTAATTACACGTAATCAAAAGGCCTTTATTTGCATTTTGTGAGAGATATGCCTTTCCAGAGATGTTAGTGGAAAGCATACTGTGCAGTGAGTCAGGAGACCTGGATTCTAGTCCCAGGTCTGCTGTTACCTAGCCGTGTGACTTGGGTGGGGTAAACCCCTGATTTGTCAGATCTTTTGTTCCTTCTCTGTAAAAGGAGAGAGTTGGACCAGATCTCTGTGGTCCCGGACTTCAGCTTATAAAAGTCTGTAACTTGTTTCCTTTTAGGAGAGAGTTGGTGATGCAGAGTGAGACGTATGTTGTAAGACATGGCTAGTGTGGTGGTTTGTTTTGTTACCTGTACTTCATCACAAGGGAGTGTTCTCTAGGGGGAGGTTTTCTGGTAGGGTGAGGCATCACATCATTGGGAAGTAATAGCAATGTAAAAAAAAAATCAGTAAATTACTTTAAGTCTGATTTTTTTGAAGTACAATTATATTAATGTCTCTAAGGTGACTGGTAGGTATACTGTTATCTTTTTTGGGGGGAGGGGGTCAGGGTTTAGAGAAAGTGTTATGCTCCATTTATAAACTTAAAGCAATCATTTATGTCTGTTACTATATATATATTTTATATATATATATATACACACACACACACACATACACACATATATAGGCATATATGTATTTTTTTTCCTATCTGTATATATAGTGATTTCTTAAAGGCTACTTATCTGGGGATAGAACTTTCATGTTTGTAGTGTAACAAAGTGTTTGGTTACATAAACAATACACAAAAATTTTCTTACCTTGTATATTATTTCATTTAATTCTCATGACTGTCCGAATAGAATAGCTTATCTCCATCTTACAGAAAGGTAAAATCGCTCATCCAAGATGGCACAGCAAATTAGAAGCTCCTGGTTTAGTTGACTTTCTACTTCTTCCCATTGGAATGTTACTGGAATGCTAAAATGGACTTAATGAAGAAGGGGAAAAGATTTTGATATCATCTAGTAAGCATTATACTTTCTTTTTTAGGTCTTAGGTGCACCTTCTTTTCGTATGTTGGCATGGCATGTACTAATGGGAAACCAGGTCATCTGGAAGGGGCAAGACATGGATCTTGTCCAATCAGCTTTTGATGTTCTTCGGGTAAGACCTTGTCAGAATTTCTTCTATCTCCCTTTATTTAGTCTCTTCCATATTTTTCAGAGGAATTTAGGTCTATAATTTTTTTTTAAAAAGTAAGGCTACACATAGCCTATAGGAAAACATCTTGAAAAAGCTCAGCAATTAATATGACTGGCATGGGTTTTGTATTTTATAATCTCATCCTGAAAATAAAAGAAACCATAGTGTTTTGGATTACCTCTTTTTTTAAAGGAAGAAACCTAGATTTTCAAGGTTGATCACTATAACATAGACTTGATCACTTCTACCAATTTCCTGAACCTTTCCAGGGGTTCTACTTGTGATTCCCAGTTTTCTCAGGAAGGGTTAATGTCATCCTAGATCTTTTTCTCAGGAGATTATTGAGCAATAGGAGGATGAGAGATTCCTCCTGTAAGGAGAAGGAGACTGATAGAATTTTTCCTAAAAAATCCTTCTGCAATCTGATGATGGAGAATAAATTTGAGACTTGAATCTAGATACATCTAACTGTTGTCATTTAAATCAGTAGACATACGAATAGTGTCTGTCACAAGAGTGCAGAAATACTCAGGATAACATTGTCCCTTCTCTCAAAGAGTTGACAGTTTAGTCAGGATGACAGGAAAGGAAAAGTAAACTTAAAGGAAAAGCTAAATAACATAAGAGATAGATAATGACCTGAGATCATCAATATAAGAGCTATTTGCTGAACTGAATTGTCATGAATCAGTGTTAAGTGAATGGTACAGATAGCAAGGGCTTTGGAAATTTGGGCTGGAGTGTTCTGGAAAGACTTCACAAAGGAGAAGAGACTTCAGCTGGGTCTGAACAGAGGTGCAAGGTTTAATTAACAGGAAATAAGGAGGGCATGGCATAGTTTTGCTCATGATTACTGTTTGTGTCATCTTTAGACCATGCTGCCTGTAGGTTGTGTCCGAATTATCCCCTATAGTAGCCAGTATGAGGAGGCATATCGATGTAACTTTCTGGGACTCAGTCCTCATGTTCAAATACCATCCTACATACAGACTTCTGGTAAGTTTCTATCACTTGGAGTCCATGGAAACATACTCCTTTATCTTTTCCTTCTTTACCTCATTTAAGGGACATGCGTATTTATTTTAGAGATCTGGAAATTTGACTTCTGGGCCTTCATCATAGAACTAAAGATGTGTGCATTAGCAGCTAAGCTTCTCTTCTTATAGAGCACAACTTTGAGATGTTGGCCCCTGCAGTCAGTATGGATGTGATGATGTATGCTGTAGCACCTCTTTTTATTTCTTTTCTCTTTCCTTCTTATCCTCCTTCATATTTTCTTTTCTGTTTCACTTTTTTTCTTCTATGCTTATTGCTTAGGTCTACCATTGGCCCCCAATACCACAGTCATTTCTTATAGCCCCACTGTTACTACTTAGAACTAAAGGAGTTATTCATCCCTACTTTTGACATTAAAGATTCAAACTTAACTTGAAATGTACTTTCTAAGATATTAAATACTGAAGTTGTTGGGTTATTTCTTCCCCTAGCAGTTTCTACTAGTAAATACTAATTTGTGACCATTCTAGAAGCTTTTTGCTGATGATTTTTTTACTTCTCTTCTGCACAGTTCCTTATTGGTTACATCCTGGTTATAACCTTATTGGCTATATGTTCAACCTGCTCACCATAAACCTCTTCATTGCCTTCTGTATAATATTCATTTTCACTTCTTTGGCCACTGTTGCATACCATGCCTCAGAGCCCATATAAAATGGATAGATCACATGGTGAGGGCAAGGGCACAGGTGTGTAGCCCAAGTACTCTGTTGCTATCCTTGAGATGTTGGAAGAAATCAAGGAAGCTTCTCTGTAGCACATTGAGTGGCCTACTATGGACCTATGGAAGGTGAACCTGTGGAAGGACATGGACAAGAGTTGCACAGGATGAGTGAGCATGAATGGGATGTGAGCTGCATTACTGGAGGGAACATCTAAATTTAGAAAAGTACAGATCCACTTGAGTACTAGCTCACTCTTCTACTGTGATTAACAGTTTCCCAACTCTGTAAAATCTTTTTTTTTTGTGTGTGTGTGTGAGGCAATTAGGATTAAGTGACTTGCCCAGGCTCACACAAACTGGCAAGTATCAAGTGTCTGGTCTGAGGCTGGATATGAACTCTGGTCCTCCGGACTCCAGGCCCAGTGCTCTATCCACTGCAGCACCTAGCTGCCCCATTCTGTAAATCTTGGAAAGTAATATACACATTGATGAAAGTATGAAGAAACAGATCATTGCAAACATTGTACTAGATCATTCCACATCTTGACAGTGACATAATTGACTATAGAAAATATATAATTCTACTGATTTTAGTTTGTCACCAGTTTAATTCTACACTGTCCTCCTCTCTTGAATCCCTACTCCTCTTACCATTTCACTGATAATGCCCAGCCAAGCCTCAGTCTTGGATCACTCCCACCATTTATTGCCTTCACACCTACACATATGCTACTGAATGAAGGTGGACAAATCACACAGCTGTTCTGATACCACTATAGATTTACGTTACACAACCTCAACTGGGCCCTCTCAGAATCAACTCATTATCCCACTCTCCACTGCGGCTCTTCCAAACCTTTTCATCCTTCCTCAAATCTCTCATGGCTCCCCTTGCCCCCACTCTCTCAGCTGAGAAGCTTGCCTCATGTATACAGAAAAAATTGAGGCCATTCGCTGTGAACTCCTTCTTCCTCATCTCCTGTCATACAGGTGCCTTCTGCCACTATCTCCTCCTTCACCCTTGTCTCAGAGAGGTGATCCAGGGCCCCCCTCCTCCACCTGTACAAGCAATCCCATTCCGTCCCATCTCTTCCAACAGATTGCCCCCTCTGTCATCCCCACTCTTTCACTTATTTTCAGGAAACATTTATATTTCACCTATTATATGCCAGGCACTGTTCTGAGCACTTTTATTTGTTTACAAATATCTCATTTGATCTTCACAACAACCCTGGTGTTATTATCACTGTTTTACAGGTATTGAAAATAAGGCTAAGTGAGGTTAAGTGACTTGCCTAGGGTCACACAGCTAGTAAGTATGTAAAGCTTGAATTTAGGACTTGTTGACACCATGCCCAGCACTCTTATTGCACTGAACCACCTCACTGCTCATTGTTTTTAGTTACTCTTTAAGCTTTTCATTGAAACAAAGATCCAGATGTTTTAATATGGCTGTCTTCTGATGATACTATACAGACATAAGCCATTGAATACTAGAAGCTTTGAAGAATTGAAGGTACCCATCCCCCAAAGGCAGTGCAAAGGTATGTGGTTAGCATGTAGCTGCAGCATATTGTAACAAGGACATATGCAGAAGTAGCATAAAGGATATCATCAGGGAGATATTTGACCAGAACAAGAGGCAGTCTAGATATGGAGTGACAATCAAAGAATAGGATAAGGTCACAGAATTTGAGAATTAGGAGGACTTCAGCAGCCCTGGCTGCAGCTAAGCGGAAGAGTGGGTAAGAGCACTGTAGCTGATGTCAAGAAGACCCGAGTTCAAATCCTGCCTCAGATGCTTACTAGCTTTGTGACCTGGGCAAGTCACTTAGCCTTCTCAGCTTTAGTTTCCTCGTCCATAAAATGGGGGTAATAATAGCACCTGTCTCACAGAGGTGTTGAGAAAATCAAAGGAGATAATATGGACAGTGCTTTGCCAACCTGCTGTCTATCCATGCATCTCCCATCTCATACTCATTTGTTGTACCCAAGACGTTACGTTTTATCATTATCTTAGATTCAAATTTATTACTATGAAAATCTTTTTGGATTATTAACATCTATTTGTTAGCTCTCCCTCCCATTTTTGTGTCTACTACAAATTTTATATGAGCATACCACCTATACCTTTATCCAAGTTATTGATAAATGTTAAATAGCATAAGGCCAAGTAAAGATTCCTAGATTACTCCACTGGAGACCTCTTGCCATGTTGACATTAAATCATCAACAAATACGCTTTGAGTCTGACTATCCAATCGGTTCTTAATCCGTTTGATTATATTATTGTCTAATCCAGATCTCTGTGTCTTCTCCACAAGAACAGGATGAGATATTTTATCAAAAACTTAGCTAAAATTTAGGTAAACTATATCTGCAGAATTCCCCTTATTTCTTAGTTAGCAGTCATGTCAAAAAAGGAAATGAGGTTAGTCTAGCATGACTGGTTCTTGCTGAAGCCCTGTTGATTCTTTTTAATCATCATTTTTCTTAACTAGTAGCTCGCCAGCCATCTCTTTAATAATTCATTCTAGAAGTTACCCAGGATTTGAAGTTAAGCTTACTGACCTGTAGTTTGCAAAGTCAGTTTTACTCATTTGAACATCAAGACAACATTTTCTCTTGTCCAAGCTTGTGTTACCACTCTCATTTTCTAGGATTCTTCAAATAATTGTCACCGACAGTGGCTCAGCAATCACCTCTATTAGTTTTTTCAGTGCCCAAGGGTGTAATTCATTTGGGCAATTGACTTGAATTCATCAAGGGCAATTAAGTTCTCTTATAACTCTCTCCTTTGTTATCTGGGGTATTAATTCCCTCCTAGTTGTTTTTGTTCAGTCATTTCCACTCTAAACATATTCTTCTTTACAGTAAGAGAAAACAGAAACAAAAATTTGACTTGACCAACTCTACCTTCACTCTGTTGTTAATTCTGCTCTCCACAAACAAAGGGCCTTTACTTTCTTTGATCCCAGTTTTTGTCAGCTTAAGCTTCCCTCTGTAGCCTCAGCTCACCATGGGCTTTAGCATTCCTGACGCTATTTTTACAAGACCATGCCATGCTCTTACATTCATCCTCTGTTATCTGGCCTTGCTTCCATCTTCTTTACAGTTCTTTTTAAAACCACAGTTGATGTGAGTTCCTTGTGCATTCATATCGGTCTCTCCAGACAAACCACATCCTTCTTTCTTACTTGGAATTGTTTCCTTTTGTGTCTTCAAAATTTCATTCTTGAGTTATCTCCCATCCCACCTGAACTGACTTCCCTTGAAGCACATGGGATTCTATCAAACTTTTCCTTAAAACTCTCTAAAAATAGATTTATCAAAATCTAGGGTGTTTGCCAGACTAGACCCAGATTTCATCTCCTCTGTCATGAACTTTATGGGAAACAGTCATTTCCCCCAGCGTTCCCATCATTTCTACCTCAGCAAGCCCTATCAATGAGAATCAGCTTAGAATAGAATATTCCCCTTGTTGTTTCTTCCACCTTTTCAAAAATGAAGTTATCTCTAGGGTGAAACAATCGATCATTAACTGCTGTTCTTTTGGCAGAGAGAGAGCTCCAGTGGATACCTGGATAATTGAAGTCCCTTAGTACTGCTATCTAATGCCTCAGTACCAGGCTCAGGATCTGTTTCCCAAACTCATCTTTTCACTCTTTCTGTCCATTTGATCTGAATGGAGTCTGTTCCAAAGACAAAATTACTTTTTTCTTCCTTTTTTGACCTTTACTTAATATTGTCATGCTTCTCCCTTTGGTTCCTTTATTTCCTCAATTTCCTCACATGAATATGATACCTTCTTAATATATAATGCCATGACACTCTGCACCCTCCCCCCCCTTTCTTTTAAATAAAGTATACTCATCTAAAGCAACAGGCCAGTCATGGGTTTCATAACACCACATCCCAGTGATATATAGGAGATCAGATTTGCATTTGTGTATAAATGTTTCAGACTATGGGATTTCACTATTTTTCTTGGATTTTCTCTCCTCTGAATTTCTAGGTGTCTCAGCTGCTAGTCTTCCTTCTTTCTGGCTACTCTCTATAATAAAGTATATTTTGGGGAAAATACTGGACAGTTTTCCTCCTCTGTTCCTTTTAGTTTAAAATCCTTTTGATTAGATTTCTAAGACAGCTGGCAAATAGAGCCCACGTGCTCTGTTGTTGTTCATGCAGTGTGAAGATCGAGAGGAAGGCACAGACCCCTGCTGTGGACAGTTTATGAGAGGACATGGACAAGAATCACACAGAATAAGAAGACATGGATAGACTGCAGTCTGCATCATTTTTGTGGAGGAGAAGAATGGGGGGGGTGTATCCTCATCACTGATAACACAGATGCATTGAAATATTATAACTCACAAAGCACTTTCCCCAAAATAACCTTGGGGGACAGGTGGTGCAAGCATTGTTAGCCACATTTTACTGATGAGGAAACTGAGGTTCAGAAGAGTTCTGTGCCCACAATCTCAAGTGAGCAAGTGTGAGTGTGAAAACTCAACTGTAGCTCTTCTGATTTAGTCCAGCAGTGTGCTTCCCTAGGATACAGAGTACAGCATGATAGGTTTATATTTGATGTATGTGACACGCTTTAAAGGATCATTATGAGAAGCAAATGACTGAGCAGAGAAATGGGTTTCTGTTGCCACAGAATTTGCTGTCATTGTTGAGGTCCACACAGCCACTTGTTCCAGTGTTTATCCAGTTGCATGTGATGAAGATCAATCTCTAAGCAAGTATGAGTTTGTGGTCACCAGTGGAGGTCCCATAGCTACTGATCGAGGTAGGAACTCCTGAGAAATGTTAATTTTTCGTAAGAAAAGTCACATGCCATGAAAAATAAGGAAAAAGAGAATGTTTATTCATATATTTTCCCTTTCTTACTGATGGTTCTAATGCTCATTTTGTCTATCTCTCTTGCCAGTTGGACCTACCATCTTGAACAAAATTGAAGCTGCTCTCACCAATCAGAACCTTTCAGTGGATGTTGTGGATCAGTGCCTGGTTTGCCTCAAGGAAGAGTGGATGAAGTAATGATGCAATAAACATTTATTAAGTGCCTGCTAGGTAGAGAGTATTGTAGTACGCTCTAGGAGAGAGGAAAAGTTGAGATGAAATGTGTCCTTCATTGTTAAGGAGTTTACAGCCTAGCAGTGGGATAAAATGGCAACACAAATACACATTATATCATAAGTGCATTGAGGAGTTTACAAAAGAGAGTGTTATACAGAGTTCGAGGGGGAATCATTACTTATGTGGGAACACAGGAAAATCAAGAAAGGTTTCCTAGAGGAGGTGGTATTTAAGTTGGACTTTTAAAAGATGAGGAGGAAATCAACAGACAGGTAAGGGGGAACCTCCAGGAATAGAGAAAAGTGTGAAGAGAGGCACAGAGCTCTGAGATTACAGTGTGTGGTTGGGGGCAAAGTATATAGTCTGGATGGATGGAAAGTTGGGAAAGTAGCATACATCAAGAATTAAATGCTAGGTAGGTTTGGATTTTCACTTGGTAGCCAGTGGCAAGCCATTGAAGACTATTAAGGAGAGGAGTGGCATGACCAAATTGATGTTTAAGGAAGATTATTCTGGCCAGAGATATTTGAAATGTATTGAAGCAAAGAGAAGGGGGCTACTCTAGCACTCTGAAGTAGCTGGTAAGAGAAGCCTGTACTAGGATGATAAAAGTGGGAATAAAGAAAGGAGGCAGATGGTGGAAAAGATGTTTTGGGGGTAGAATTGACAGTCTGTTAACTGATCAAATATGAAAGTTGAGGGGAAGGGAAGAATCAAAGGTAACCCTAAGGTTATAAAGACAGGAGACTGAATGAATGCCAATACCATAGATCAGTGGTGTCCAACTCAAATAAAAATGGATCCTTGGGGGACACATATTGACTTAGAAAACTACAAATTAACACTATTTTTGTTAAGCATTTCCTCATTCCATTTTAATTTGGTAGCCACTCAGTGAGTTTTTCAGCTCACATTTGACACCTCTGCCATAGATAGAAATAATGAAATCCAAAAAGGCAGCAGTTGCAGGAAGAAAAAAGATGATGAGTTCAGCTTTTAATATGTTGAATTTAAGTTACTATCTGGATGTTCAAGGGAAATTCAGGGGAAAATTCCTGGAGGCAGTTCAGATATGTTCCTGAAGCTTAGGATATGAGAGATGCATTTGAGAATCATCTGCACAGAGGTAGTAGTTGAAGCTATGGAAGTAAACGAGATTACCAAGGAGTAGAGTAGAAAGAGAAAAAATAAGAGGGCCAGCTACTCCTTGTAGTATACTGACGTTAAGAGGTCAAGAAGATGGTGACTGTTCAGTCAGTCAGTCAATCAGTAAGCATTTATGAACTGCCTTTTTTGGGCTTGAGACTGTCAAGTACTAAGTGTACAAAGACAAAAACGAATCCCTTCTCATAAGGAGCTTATGTTCTGACAGGGAAGGTAATGTACTCGTGTGAGCACATGCAGAATATTTATATAGTGAATACAAGGTGGTTTTGAAAAGAAGAGAGCTGGGGGAAATCAAGAAAGGCCTCATGTAAAAGGTGGCAGAGTTGGGTGTGTATTCCAGGCATAGGGGAGACAATCAGTGCAAAGACACAGAGACGGTCAGTGAGCTATCAGCAGGCCGATTTGGCTGGACTGTGGAGTGTGTAGGTCAGAGTGATGCATAAGATGACTGGAAAGATGAGAAAGGACCAGATTGTGAAGAGCTTTGATTGCCAGATGACAGTTCTGGAGTTAATAGAGAGCCATGGGAGTTAATTTGGCATGGGAGGAAATTACATGGTTGGAACTGCACTTTGGCAGCTACATAGGGATAGATTGGGCAAGGAGATGAAATGGTCCAGGTAAATGGTTGATAAGGGATTGAACAAGGTTGGTGGTTATGTGAGTGGAGAGGATGGGACATATTTGTAAGATGGGCAGGTGAGAGATGACAAGATCTGGCAACCAATTAGAAATTTGGGGAGCCAAGGATGATAACCAAATTGCAAACCTAGGTTACTGAAAAGGGTGTGTCCTTGACAATAATAGGGAAATTTAGCAGAAGGGTAAGTTTGGAGGAAAAGATGGTGCATACTGTTTTAGATATGCTGAGCTTCAGATGCCTTCCATACATCAAGTTCAAAATGTCCAGTAGTCACTTTGTGATAAGAGTCTGGAGCTCAGAAGACACTAGAGCTAGATCTGTAGATCTGGGAGTTATTGGCACCTAGCTCAGTCTTCCTTTCCTCCTCAACTCCTGGCCTCATACTAGAGGACTGTTTACTCAAATTCCCAATTCCTCATTTTTCTCAAATCTTATAGTGTATTCTTTTGTTCCTCCTTAGCCCTGCATAGACAGTTATATTCTGGAGCTCACCATTACCTACAGGTGTTCTCCTTCCCTGATCAAAGACTCTGGCATTAATCTTATTCACATTTATCATTTCATCATCACCTGTGCCTCACCCCTCCTAAACCTATTCTTTGCTCTCGTTTTGACCAGCAACCGCTTCGCTCTGCTGATTTCACTTTCGTCCCTTCTCAACTTGATCCATTTAGTGAATTAGTTCAACCTGATACTATCCTCTACTTTCAAATGCCTTGTCCTGTCACTACTTATCCCCTGTCAACCCCCAACCCTAGATTATTCCTACCATCCACTTCTGTTTCAGCTTAACATGAAGCCAAACAAAGGTGAAAGAAGTTACACAGTATGCTGACAGGTCCCTTCTAACTTTAACTGGGTCCTCACTACAGTAAGTCAATCTTTTTATTCCTCCTTAACTGATTTCCTGTCTCACTACCCACAAAAGTTACTGCAAATCTTCTCTTCTCTCCCTAGCCTCCCACACCTCATACTTCCCCCTTGCTCAGATGAAGGCCTCACTTCTTTTCTCCATCTGAAAATCCCTCGAAATCATCCCTTAGTCTCCCTTCTTCTTGCCACACATAGCCAACCCTCTACCTATGTCCTTGATGCCATCCCATTTGGTTTTCTCTACCAAACTGCCCCTCTTTAGCTAATCTTCAAGCTCTTCCTATCTGTTGGTTCCTTCTCTGTTGCCTTCAAACATGCTTAAGTCTTCCCCATCCCAAGACCTTCATCCTACACCTTCCCTTCAAACAATTATCCTACTTCTCTCCTCCCTTATCCTACTTCTCTCCTCCCATTCTTAGCCAAACTCTTAGAAAAAGCTGTCCACACTCATTGCCTCCTCTTCCTTTCTTGTACTCACTTCTGGTCTTCAGTCTCACTTCAGAACTCATCACTCAACTGAAACTGCTCTTTCCAAAGTTACCAGTGACCTCTTAATTGCCAAGTTCTGTTCTCAGTCTTTAAACTTCTTACCTAACCCTGTTGACCATTCTCTCCTGGATGCTCTTTCTTCTCTGGGTTTTTATGATACAACTTTCTGTCCACTCCTCAGTCTCCTTTGTTAGCTCATCGTTGATAGCACACAGTTAACTGTGGGTATTCCTCAAGGCTCCATCCTGAGCCCTCGCCTCTCTCTGTACTCTCTTGGTGACCTCATCAGGTCCCATGGGTTTTAACTATCATCACTATGCATACTTGCAGATCTATATATCCAGCCCCACCCAGTCTCTCCCCTGAACTTCAGTGTCACATCACCAACTGCCTATTGACTGCTCCAAATTGGATAGACATCTCAGACTCAGAACAGCCAAAATAGAATTCAGTATCTTTTCCCCCAAACCCACCCCTCTTCTAAATTTCTTTCAAAATGTGCCACTATTCTCCAGTTCCCTAGGTTTGTAAGATGAACATTATCTCCCCCCTTTCCCCACATATCCAATCAATTACCAAATCTCATCTTTTTCCTCTCAGTAACATCTCTCACATCCACCCCTTCCTTATACAGCCACTACCTTAGTTGAAGCCCTCATCACCTCTTGCCTAGGCTATTAAAATAGCCTCACAGTGGTATTTCTACCCTAGCTTTCTCCTCCAGCCTCCTCATCACACTGAAAGTGATCTTCTTTAATCATAGAAGTGAGTGTGTGGAATGAAGCGTGTGGCTTTCTGTCTTGTGCTTTCCCCTTTTCTCCATCTGAAAATCTGAGCTTCAGGAACCTATCTGAATTGCCTCTAAGAAATCTTCCCCTGAATATCCAAATAGTACCTTAAATGGTAGTGAGATAGGGAATGAAATTCCACTGTCTTCCTTTTGCCTCTAGGATAAAATATAAACTTGTTTGTTTGGCTTTTAAAGTCCTTCATATCTTGGCTGTAACTGTCTTTTCATCTTCACTGTAAATTCTCCCAGAATTCTGCATTCCAGCCAAACTGCCTCTTTTCTCAATCTTCACACATGATGATACATCGCCCAACTTGATGCCTTTGTACCTATGTGACCCCTAAGCCTGGTGCATTGCCATGCTTCCTTACCTCTGCCTTATAGAACCCCTTTCTTCATGACATAGCTCAAGTACTATCTATCATCTACATGAAGCCTTTCCTTAATCCTCCTAGCTGCTAGTGCCTGCTTAATTACCTTGTATTCTCTTTCTATTTCTTCCACATATAGGTATATATGTACTTTTTTCCTCTATTAAAATGTAACTCCTTGCACTTAATAAAAAGCTTGCAAATAAAATGATTGGTATGGAGATGGACCCATGACAGTTGATGAAGTGAGAGAATAGAAGGAAAAAGGCAGCCAAGAAGGCTGCCTTATGGTACACCTATAGTTAGTGTGTGTGATGTGGATAATGATCCACAAAAGAGACTGAGAAAGAAGTGGTCAGCGACCTAAAAGGAAAACCTAGAGAGCACTATCCCCAAAACTCAGGGAGCAGAAGGTAGGCAATAGTGGCAGATACTGCAGAGAGATAAAGAAAGATGTGGATACGATAAGGTTGGCAGCCAGATTGTGGAAGGAAGCATAGGCTGCTTTTTCAAGGAATGCAGCTGAAGAAGGGAGGTGAGATAGAGGATGATACCTTTCAGAGGTGGAAGCATCCAACAACGTAGAGAGAAGAGAGAACAGTTGACAAGGGAGGAAAAAGAAGAATGTCTGAAGCAGACGAGAGGGGTATCCAGTAATAAGTGTGTGTCAAGTTGTATTGAGATTAGAGAGGATGTGCACTGAAAAAAGTATTTGTATCTGATAATTGTATTTGATTGTATTTGATAATTATATAATGTTAAGGGTAGTTTTAGTAGAGTAGTTGGGGGAAAAATATAACAGCTTTTCAAAGAAGTTTATCCAGTAAAAGGAAAGAGAGAGTAGCTAAATTGACTAGTCAAAGGGAGGCTTTTTTAGAATTGATGAAGACCTAAAGATCCTTGGAGCCAGTGGAAAAAGAAAGTCTGAATATGTATGAGAGAACTGAAACAAGGTCCTGGAGGACATAGAAAGTAACTAGGTCAAAGGTGAAAATAGACTAATTAGCCCTGGTGTGAAGTAAATCTGTCTTTTCTTCTTTGATGGGAAGAAAGGAGAGAAGATTTGATTATGCTTAGAAGGTTTTAGGAATGCATTAAAAGAACTGAGGGTGTTCATTTTGGATGCAGTAAGTATTCTCATTAAGATTAAGGAGGTTTAGCAAAAATACAGCTCAACTTTACATGAATGTTTTCACAATGTCTGGAGTATATGCTAGTGAATAAGGCAGAGGCTATTGGTTATGTAGCTCAGCCTTACCTTCTCTTCTGTAGAAATTATGGTTAAGTTAATAGAGTATAAACCAGGGGTGGGGAACCTGTGGCCTGGAGGCCACATGTGGCCTTCTAAGTCTTTGGGTGCAACCTTTTGACTGAGTCTAAGTTTTACAAAACAAATCCTTTTGCTTAGGGGATTTGTTCTGTGAAGTTTGGATTCAGTCACCTGAGGACCTACAGGCCACAGGTTCCCCACCCCTGGCATAAATCATACATTGAGTTGACCAGGGTTCCCCTTTCCTAAGATAATTTATTTTGCTTCTTTGTGTTCTTCTCATTTATGGTCATTTTGTATTGAATAGAGGAACACACACAGTTATCTATGCTTAGGAGCAACCAGTTTTTCACATTTAAGAAAATATTGTTTGCTAAATTGCAGTTTTTCTATTTTAGACTTGACATATAGGGTAGCCTTTGACAGGTAAATGAGTATTTCTAAAACTTTTATGCATCACTTGCTCTTTAGAATGTCAATTTCTGGAGCCATTTGAGTTCCACCTTAGCCATATAAGAAGGAGAATCTTGTGTGACAAGAGACACCTGCAGAACTGCCTTGGCCATGTAGTCCTTTGGCTGCTGCAGGAGGAGACTGAACACTGTAATTATCGTGTTTTGTGTTTTGTAGCAAAGTGAAGGTGCTTTTCAAATTCACCAAAGTGGACAGTCGGCCCAAAGAGGACACCCAAAAACTTCTGAGCATTCTGGGAGCAGCTGAGGAGGACAATGTAAAACTCCTGAAGTTCTGGATGACTGGGTTAAGCAAGACCTACAAATCACATCTTATGTCTACAGTTCGAAGCCCTACTTCCTCAGAATCTCGAAACTGATGACGTAATGGGAGTATATCTCAGGATAAGTCTCCTGGGAATCTAGTTATTCATTCTCATTTCTGCTATACCCCACCGCAGGTCATGTGAATCACAAAATACAGATGTCCACAAATTCCACTTGGAGAACTGTATGTTTAATCTTTGAATTGCTCAAAAATGAGATATTTGTCACCCAGAAATGTAGACTGATAATCCTAATTTCTGGCCTCCATATGTTAGTTGTGGCTAATCTTGTTTTTCAGCACAGTCCTTTAAACTGTATAAATATCTTCAAACTTAAGAAGGAATAGCCCACCCACACAGTGACAATGGAAAACTTAAACAGCTGGATTCTTATCTGTATCAGTTCATCTCTTGACACTGGCAATGGAGAGAGAAGCTATAAGAAAAAGTTGCGTTTGTTAGCTCTAAAGAATTTTCATCTCAATTTTTAGAAAAGAAACAAGCTGGGGCTAGGGTTGGACTTTGCTACAGATATCTTTTTTGAACACTTCCAATTTGAGATTGAGCAAGACTTACTGTGATTTTTCAGAAAACATTCAGGGTACACTCAATTCCCTCACTATTTTTAGAAATCTAATCTCAAGGCTGGGATCTGCTCTGTGTCTTTGGAAAAGATTTCGAAAGTTACAGCAGCTATTTATTCTTACATGCATTTGAATTCTATTTGAAGTGAGAAGAGTAAGAAATTGATTATTTTTGGAATGGAAATCCAGTAACAAGCTAAGGATACTCATTTGCAAAATGTATTCTGGCTAGCCTTCTCTGTAGTTGCATGTGAAAATAACTTGTGACCTCCAGTTTTGAAGAGGCTTATTGTTTTATATAAAAGTGTTACTTTTGCCTAAATAGCCAATATAGACATTTGATTTCCCAACCTGAGAAAACGTGAACTAGAGTCTAATAATAACATTTAGATCCTGACTTTTCATTTTATTTAGCCATAATAGGGTATTTATAAAATTTACCATAATTTCATTTCAGAATCACTCTGCCCTTCATAACTTGTTAAAGCCTTGACTAGAGGCAACCAAAAGCAATGTCAAGATCATACTAGATTTTTCAATTTCATCAGTGCACTGCACTTGCATTTCTAACAAGACTTGGTGATTTTGCAACAACTTTTTTGCTGATTTATCTAAGGGGGTGGGGGTTTGTGGGTGTTTATTTAAATTATATTTAACACAAAAACTAAGTTTTTAATGTCATTGTTAACTCTATAATGCAAAAGCATTAAAACACAATAAAGATGTATTTTTGTAAGCTGGAGAACATACGTATTTTTGATGTAGTATGTGAAACATAGTTGGCTTCAGCAATGGAAAGTGTTAAGGACAATTTATAAGAAATAGGTTACCCACTGAAATATATATAATCACAAGTTACTTAGTGATATTGGAAAACCTTCCCCACGGTGTAGTTACTCTTTTGAAGATATCAATTCTAGGTGTTAAGTGGTTTGCCTCTTAATAAATTTAAAAATAAATCTCATGTATTTTTTGGACATGGCCAATTTGAGAAGTTGTTTTGCTGAAGCATGCATGTTTAAGTTTGTTTTTTTTTTCTTTTCCTTTTTCCAATGGGGGAAGGGGCGGGAGAGGTAGGTGGGAGAGAAAATAGATTTTTGTCAACTAAAAAAAGGGCTTGAATCTATTTAAGAAGATGGTTGCCTTGAAAGATTACTAGATTACTTGGACAAGTTAGGACATATACCTTTAATTGGTGCTGTGAAAACAAAATCATGGCATTATGGATTTATAGCTGGAAGGGACCTTAGCCATCCAGTACAACCTCCCTATCTTCCCAGATGAGGAAACTCCCTCTACCAATGTAGATTTGCACCTATTCTGCAACTTAAGAGTCTTAGAGAAGTGCCTGGAATACTTAGATGTTGATGTATTAATAACATTCTGAAATGACAATTTCAGTGTTGAGTTACATGTGTTTTTGAAAATGAGGAGATGGAGTAGCCAGCCACAAAGTTCTAGTCAAAGGATAATTTGAATTCAGTTCAAGACATTTAATAAGCATACTGATCCAAGATATAGTGGAAAGACTGAAGGTCAAGTTCTTAATATACCCCACTGAAAAATACAATAGAAATATCACAAAAAAAGAAAATTTTAAAATGAGAAAAGCAGAAGGCCAATACAACTACAAATAGAGAAATGAATCAGTTAAAATATCTGGAGAAGGGAGGAAGGAAAAAAAAAAGGCAAAAAAAGAGTTCCACAATGAAAAGCACTATTGAAAACCTCAAAGAAGCAATTACAGTGGAATAGAACTAGTGGCACATAATGCAGGCTAGCCAGAAGTAGACTTTTAAAAATCTAAACTACTGGAAGACATTCAGACCCAAAGGACAGATCTGGAGGTCAAATCCCAAATCAAAAGCCTCACTATTACTGATACTACAGATAATCATCAAAGAAAATTTCCTAGAACTGGCAAGAGCAGCCAGTGAATTACCATTAGAATCCACAAAACACACACATTGAAAGACCCAGGATTTAACATGCTTAGATACATCATAGTTAAACTCCCAATATTTAAATATAAAGAAAAAATATTACAAGCTGCCAGAAGTGAATAATTTATCATAGAAACTCATTTCTGCTCATAGGCTTTTCAAGGACAAAGACAAGGGAAGACTGCATAAATATACACAAGATGGCTTCCCAAATGGAACCATAACTCCTACTCATCTACTTCAACAAAAACTTTAAAACAGCATCAAATAAAATTATGAGCAAGAGATACAATGAGTAACTACAGTAAGTTACTTCACTGCTGAACTGCACAAAAAATCAGAAGACCAGAACCAACCTAGGTAAATAAAATGGGATTCTCCCAGAATGACCCTAGAGACAGACCAGAGACACCTATAAAAAGATTTCTGGAGGCAGCAAGAGTGGAAGGTGCCTGAAAAAAAGCCCTAATATGGTCAGAAACCCATCACATGGACCTTGGAAGTGAACATAAGTGGCAGCTCTCAAACCAGGCCACTCCAGGCCCAGACGCGCCAAGGTTACTAGCACTCTGTCCTGAGACTCCATTTAGAACTCTGAAGATCCAGTGCTGTGAACCTCAAAGATATAGGGAAAGTGTAGGCAGGGAATCTACCAATATTCTTTCTGTGTAAACAAACTCTCAAGAAATAGTCAGTACAGAAGCACACGTGCACCATGGTGAAACTATGCAGGTCTGATTACCTCATGATCTCGGTCCTAACAAAAAGCTATAATTCAGGAACTAAGATGGGAGAGAAACCACTATAAAAAAATTATTTTATGATCCAGTCCAAAAGAAGAAAGTAACTTCATAACAACTGCAAGTAGTGACTCAAAGGAAAAAATAGATTTTCCACAAGGACAACATGAATGTCTAGAATAAATCAAGCAACAGGTTAAAAAAAATCTTGCAGAGAGAACTGGAAGAATGGTTTACAATAGAAAGTGGGAAACTCTGCCCAAGTAACAGACTGTAAAAATTCATATGGACCAAACTTTATCATTGATTTCCTAAGACAGCAAGAAAGAACAAAATCAAAAGATTAAAACAATAGAAGAAATCATAGGTTATCTGCTATCAAAAGTAACTAACCTGAGAAAGCAGTGCAAGGAGAGAATGTTTAAGAATCATCAAACTCAGATGCAGTATGATTATCTGGAGTTCAAACCGCAGCTAAAAAAATCCAAACGATTTGGATCAACAATATAAGGAAATTAATGCAACATTGAAGCATTAAACTTAGAAGTGAACAGTGAACTTAGAACTGGCCTTAAGAACTTCAACCAGTCTCTTCCAGAGTTGCTGAAGATCTAGAATCCATATTTTTTTTAAGAATCTATTTTTGAAAAAATAGAAACCCCAGAAAATGAAATGGAAAGTTTGAAAGAGAACTGTCTATTTTCCACCAACAAAGAATGGCTATATTCTTTTGAAGAGAAGCTAACTTTATTCAAAGTTCACACCATAGGAGGAGCACTGGGATGGAGAAGCAATGAGAGAGACTATGTCATCATGAAGATAGACTCAAGGCCCAGCTTCAGTGTTCTATGTCCAAGCAGGCAAAGGCCTTAATGAAAGGTAAGCAACAAACAGAAGGCACTTCACAGTTTGAAAAGACAAGCTGATGCTTTAGAAGATGAACTGGTTACCAGCACTATTACAGATTCTGGCATGCAGCTTGTCACAACTGGAAGTTTCCCCACTTGAAGACTCTCATCTCACAAGAAACCAGGGAAGGGCCTTGTCACAATGACTTGGCCGCAAGAGACTCTATGGGACACTTTATGCCTTATATACCTGAGGAAGTGTCTACTACCTCACTAGCTGGCAAGTCAGATTGGCTAATTGGCAGTCTTACCTGACCTTGCTAAAAACCAACTCAGATCCAGGACCTTCTTCTTAAGAACAGTATATTTTATGCTATGCATGCAAAGATTTTTGTAAGTTGTTTGTACATTTGGAAATACCAATGCACAAAATTCAAACGGGGTGTGAAATTAATACCACAGGTTTGTTTTTTTTAATAAACACATCACTCCTCTGAAATACACATTGCAGGGTATAAATTGAAAGATCTGTACTGATGTAGCAGAACACCTTGCTTAATTTAAATTCCTCTACATTTCTTAATCTTTTCTAGTTTGTGTTTTGCATGAAATACATTTTCATATAAAAAAAGATTTAAAAAAATCATTAAACTCCCTGAAAAGCACAATTTTAAAAATGGATACTATGTTTCAAGAAATCATGAGTAAAAACTGCCCATATCCCTTAGAATCAGAGGGCAAAATTAAACTAGAAAAAATCCATTTGATCATCTAAAAGAAACTCCAAAAGGAAAAGTCCCAGGAATGTAAAATACCAAAATACAGAGCTTCCAAGACTAAAAAAAAAAATACTGGAAGCAACTAGAAAGACTTCAAGTACCAAGGAACCAGTCAGAATTATACAAGACCTGGCAGTTTCTTCTATAAACAATAAAAGATCTTGGAATATAATACTCCAAAAGGCAAAAGATATAAGTTTACAACTAAGAATATGTTAACCTACAAAGCAGAATATAATCTTACAGGTGTTGGGGAGAGGAGAAAAGGGGGGAATAGGCTTTTAATGAAATGGAGAATTTTCAAGAATTACTGATAAAAGGAAGTGCTGAATTACAATGGATTGCTAACATTCTAAGAGTGAGAAGAAATGTGTCCCTTTAGAACCTAATTTCTTCAAAACGTATTGACAGAATTAAGAAAAACAGAACACAGGGCAGCTAGGTAGCACAGTGGATAGAGCAGCGGCACTGAAGTCAGGAGGACCTGAGTTCAAATTTGGCCTTAGACCAACCACTTGACACTTACTAGCTGTGTGACCCTAGGCAAGTCACTTAACCCCAATTGCCTTTAAAAAAAAAGAAGAAAAACAACACCAGGGTGTGGATTGATTTTGTTCTGAGACTTTTAAGAGGGAAAAGAGAAGGTAGCGCAAAAGATATATACTAGTATACAAAGGGGGATGTTAGGTGGCACAGTGGATTCAAATCTGGCCTCAGACACTAACTAGCTGTGTGATCCTGGGCAAGTCACTTTACCTTGTTTGCCTCATTTTTCTCATCTGTAAAATGAGCTGGAAAAGGAAACGACAAACCATTCCAGTATTGATATGCCACAAAAACCCCAAATAGGGTCACCAAGAGTTGGACAGGACTGAACAATAACTATACAAAGGAGGAAGAAGGGAGTGGAACTTACTATTTCTCCTAATTCAGGTGTATGAAAAACATACAAACATTAAGGAAGAGGTGGAAGAAGCAGGCGTCAGAGGAACCTCTTAGCCAGACAAAGAAGGACTGAACACACACACACACACAGAGTTCAGTGTAGAAATATATCAAAGTCAAAAGGAAAATACAGATAGGGAGAAGCAAAAATACTGGGGAGGCAATAGTCTCAAAAAAGACTTCCTGATCCTGGAGGGTGAAAATTAAAAGGAGGGAAAGCCAAGAACTGGAAACTAGAGGTGCCAAGGGGGAAGTAACTGAACAAATTAATTTAATACAATGTTACTGCACAATGGGAAATTACTAAAGGGACAGAAAAATGTGGGAAGCATGAATTTATGCAGAATGAAGTGAGCAGAATCAGAACAATTTATACAATGACAATATTGTAAAGAAACAGCTTTGAAAGACTTAAAAATGCTGATCAAAGCAATCAACCTATGATAAAGCATGTTGTGAGAGGTGATGGACTTAAGGTACAAAGGAGATATTTTTTGGACATGCCAATGCATGTAGTTGTTTTGCTTGACTATGCTTATTTGTTACAAAGTCCCCTCCCCCTTTTATTTTTGGAAAGGATGAGAGGGCAGCTTTAGTGATGACAAAAAAAAAAAAAAGAGGGCCTTTGAACCTTCCCCCTCATCAATAGTGGTTTATTTTGTTTCCAGTTATTTGCTACTCCAAAATGCTGCCACATATACTGAAGAATTTTTTTTTTAAATGCATAGGACAAGTTCAGAATGAAAAACAAAGACAAGAGAGAGGACTTAGGTTCAGATCCCACATATGATATTTAATATGTGACCTTGGGCAAGGGCTTCAATTTCATTATCTATAAGATGAAAGAGTTGGACTACACGGCCTCTGAATTTTCTTCTAGTCTAGATATATGATCTCAGTTCTTTAAGACTCCATGAATTTTATCCTTGGATTTCCAGCCCACCTTCCAATATGTCAACTTATGTTGAGGGCACTACCATTATTTCCAGTTGCCTGGGTTTGTAACCTCAGAAGCATCTTTGATTCCTTCCTGACTAATTCAGTGCTCTCCACATCTCACACAGCCACCACTCTAGGGACTTCATCACTACTTAATTGGTCTCCCTGCTTCCACCTCTCCCTTCTCTAATCCATCCTTCACATAGGTACCAAAATATTCTTCCTAAGGAAGAGTTATGACCATGTCACTTCCCTCTCAAATATCTTCTGTGGTTCAAAACTGTCTATGTCATAAAATACAAAGATTATATAAAAATTGATTCATTGTGTACCACAGTCAATCAGTCAATCAACAATACCTATTATGTGCCAGGCATTGTGCTAGCCACTGGGAGGAGAAACAATTCTTGTTCATAATAAACTTATATTCTTAACAGGAGAGACAACAAATACATAAAAATATTCCGCATAAATATAAAGTTAATAAATACAAAAACTAAATTAAGTAGTTAAATATAAGGTAGTTTGGGAAGAAAGGGTAGATGGTTGGGGGGCAGGAAAGGCTTTAAAGTGGTGCCTAAACTCCCTCTTAAAAGAAAAGAGGGATTCTGTGAGGGGAAGATAAGGAGGGAGTGGGCAACTGGCCAGCATAGAGAATATGAGGAACAGAGAAAATGTCAATTTTGGCTAGACTGAAGAATATAGGGTGGGAAAGAAGTTGGGGTTAAGTTGTGTAGGGCTTTAAAAACTAAACAAAAGTGTTTATACTTGATGCTACAGACAATAGGAAATCACTGAAGTGACTTAGTGAGATCTTCACTTAAGGAAAAGTACTTTGGTAGCAATTTGTATGATGGAAGGCCTGGAGTGTAAGGGAACAATTAGGTTATGGCAATCATCTAGGCAGGTGAAGAGGGCTTGAATTAAGGTGGTAGGGTGTGAGTGACAACTCACTGAATGAATGTGTGAGGTGAGAGAAAGGAAATACAGGATAATGCTGATGACAAATGTGAGACCCCACAAGGATCGTGGTGCCTTTGACGAGAGGGAGAGGGAGACAGAGAGGGAGAGGGGGAGGAGGAGGGAGAGGGAGAGGGAGAGGAGAAAGAGCAGAGATGTGCATTTGCAGATCATAATGCAACAAAACGAATATTAAATAATGACACTACAACTCTAAAACTTTTACCTTTTAAATAATAAGTTGGTTGAAGAGTCATTTTTTAAAAAAGATAATGGCAATGAAAATGACAAAAGTACTACATATAAAAAAATGTGACTCGGCTGAAGCTCAGAGACAAATTGATAGTCCTGAATGTTGTATCAATGGGAAAGAGAAACTTAATAAATTGAACCTTCTTCTAAAACATGGAGGAAAGAAAGTAACAAAGCCATCAGACGAGCAGAAAGTAGCAGAGATATAACCAAGATAAGAACAGAACAGTCCAATTCAATTTTTTAAATGAAAAGTTAAATAAAACCAAGACTCTTTTTTAAAAAGACTAACAAAAATGATCAACCACTTGCAAGTCTCAAAGAACTGGGCAAACCCAAATCACCAAAATTAGAACTATCTGTGATCACAAGGGCAAAAGATATCCAGGAAACGGAGATGACTATCCCGCATCATGGAAGTGCGCTTGCCGGCCTGTACCTGGGGCCGGGCTCCCAGGGTGCTGGGCCAGGCGCGGGGAGGCAAAGCCTCTAACCAAACCAACCTCGAGCCGGAGCGGAGTGACCTCACTCTCCGGAAGTGACCAGAGGAGGCCGACCTGCCGCTGCCCCTCTCGTCTCCCTCGCTCCCTTGTGGGAGCACGGAGGCAAATATTTCTGAGGCTGCAAATCCAGGCGGCAGCTCTGTGGCCGCGGGCGCCTCGGGCAGGAGGCTCCGAGACCTGCGCGGCCTCGTCCTCGCCTTCGCCCCGGGCCGGGATCGCGTGGCCTCGAGCCGCGAGAAGCCTGCGAGGTCTGCGCGCCACGGTTGGCGCGGCGCAGGCGCAGTCAGGCTGGAGCATGTGGCGGATGCGCTGGCAGACGTTAGGCCTCACGGCCGTGAGTGTCGGCTTGGCTCTGGAGACCCTGGGCTTCTTGGTCGGCTGGCTGAGGCAGCACCTGCGCCGGCGACATCGGCCCCCGCGGCGGGAGGTGCTGTTCTTCCCCTCGCAGGTGACCTGCACCGAGGCCCTGCTGAACGCCCAGCGGCAGGGAGGCCCTCCGGAGGCGGCGCCGGCGGCCGCGGGGCCCGATGTCCGGAGGTCGCCCGGCCCGGCTGCGGGGGCAGCGGGCTCGGGCGCGGCGGCCGTGGCGGCCTCGAGCTGCCTGTGCCCGCTTCCGCACGGGGAGAGCTCCCTGAGTCGCCTGCTGCAGTACGTGCTGTCGGCCCACAGCAGCCTCGAGCTCTGCCTGTTCGCCTTCTCCAACCCGCAGCTGGGCCGCGCCGTGCACCTGCTGCACCAGCAGGGGGTCCGCGTGCGCGTGGTCACCGACTGCGACTACATGGCGCTCAACGGCTCCCAGATCGGCCGCCTGCGCAAGGCAGGTAGGAGCGGCCCCCCCCCCCCCCGGCCCCCCCCCCCCCCCGCCCCCCCCCCCGCTTGGCCCCCCGCTGTGCCAGGGCCCGCGGGGGCCTGCGTCCTCCTTGCCTGTGCACCCGCTACAGCGTGCGTGCGCGGTGTGGAGGCTCGTGCGCAGTGTGGAGGCTCCTCCGCAGTGCATGATATACATACCGTAATATACCATGCTCACGCACACACATCACTAGGTATAGATTGGACTTTAAATTGTGCATGTATTACATATGTATAATATATAGTGCATATATATATATATATATATATATATAGTATGTTACATATACACACACAGTTTATAATAAATGTCTCAGGACTTAACCTAACTTGTAGAGCTGCTATGAGAAGGGAAAAATGAGACGAGGAGTAGAGACTTTTCTCAGAAGAATTTGGATGTGTTTGCAAGTGTAACTCTGCAAAGTATACTTTTTTCCCCACAGAGAAAATGAAGCGAAATATACCTTTTGGTATACGAACAGTACAAAGTAGTAGTTTTTCAGCAATTGCGTGCTCTGTGCACCTAGCTTAGTTCATTTGTATTGCCAATGTGAGATATACATGGATTTTTGCACAGTATAAATTTTTTTGACACAGTATGGTGTCAGATTTTGGTATAAATAGCTTAGTAAATGGGAGTACTTTTAACTGTTGTACAGCTTCTTGTATGACTGATAAAATTAGACCAGGAAGTAATAAAATCAATTGAAAATCTAAAAATCTGTATAGAGATAACTTCTTTGCTCCTCCCTCCCGGATATTTGCCAAAACCATTTGGGGAAAAAAAAAGTAAATATTTTCAGTTAAATGCTACAGTACATAATTAGAGACAATCAGTGGGTGATTGTGAGCTTATTACACTGCAGTTATTAGCTTCTATCTTAATATCTTCTGTGTTCTTCAGCTGTGTACTAGACACATTAAGTCTTAAAGAGGGGCATAATTTAAGAAGTGGATAATTTAGCATATT